CATCCATCCATCCATCCATCCATCCATCCATCCATCCATCCATCCATCCATCCATCCATCCATCCATCCATCCATCCATCCATCCATCCATCCAGAGCAATAAAGATGCTTTTTTTTTTCTTTTCAAGTAAACGGAAGCTGGAGCGAATGGAGTGAGTGGCAAGAGTGCAACCAAACGTGTGGTAATTCATATGCCAAGCGCACGCGTAACTGTACCAATCCTTCTCCCCGCTGGGGTGGACTCAGTTGTCAAGGATCTCATTTGGAGCAACAGAAATGCAACAGCAACAAATGTCAAGGTACGAGTGAAGAATATCTTAAATGTGGATGGCCGCGGAAACAGCTGACTTGAAAAATGTATTGTTTTACGAGGGTAGCACTTAATAGCCATTGGCTAACTAAAAAAAATCTTGTGACCCTCGTTCCGAATGACCGAATTATATTAAACTAAGAACTTTTTGCTCATGGATCGAATGGAAGAAAACCGGAGAACCGACCCGGAGAAAAACCCTCGAAGCGCAGAAGTGAACCAACTACAAGCTTTACCCACATATATGACATATGAGTCAAGGAATCGAAGCTGGGTTATTGGTGAGAAGCGAGCTAACCTCAGTATCATGCTCTCTTGGGGAGAGAGAGAAGGGGGGGGGGAGGGAAAAGACCTTACTCCCCCTCCCTAGGCACCCTGAAGGCCTGATACTCAGGTTAGAGACAAGCGCATTCACGCGCTACACCATGCACCCATGCTTCCCAAACCAGCTGAGTTAACCGCGTTATCCGAAAGTGATTTTATGGTCAACTCCTTTTGGTTAGCATTTTCCGAGCAGGGACTGAGTACGATGTAGATTTCTCTTGTCAATTGAAAATCATGGAATTCCATCATGAGTTCGACTAGTGTTTACGATCAATAACAATAAAGAATTCAGTCGTATTTTTCGGGGTTTCTCTTGGCTGAATCATGAGGAATGCCAATCAAAATTCAATATTTAATCCTCAATAGACCTATCCCGAATTCGCTTGACTGTTCACGAAACAATGGTTTCAAGTCGAGGTTGAACTTGATGAATAAAAGAATCAAGTTCAGTCTTGACTTCAAACCATTGTTTCATGGTCAGTCAAGCGAATTCGGGATAGGTCTATTCTCATTGGTTGACCTTGATTATGAGTTTGTTTTGAAGGTCAACTCAGCTCGTAAACAAAATGAAGTCGATAAAAAAACTGATCTCTTGCAATTACTGTGTGAACACACTTATCGGGAACACTTGAATAAAACTGACCAATCAGATAACCGCAAACTAGACGGAGATTGAACTGATAACAGTGTTAGCCAATCAGTTATCACGTTCTCATGGGCTATCTGATTGGCTGGTTAAAATATAAAATAAAAATCACAGTATAATTGGTTAATGACTAATTTGTAAAAGGGGTCTCGGCTAAAGTATCCGCACAGTAAAGGCAACGTTATTTTTCCAGGGATATGGAGCGAGTGGGGTAACTGGAACACGTGTAGCAAGTCATGTGGACTGGGCCACCGAACAAGACAACGAACATGTATAAAGTCCTTCTCATATGGAAAGGAAAGAGTTTGTCAAGGATCCCCTGAGGAAACCAAGAACTGTTATGTGATCATGTGTAAAGGTTGGTTGGTGTAGGCATGTGAGGTACCTAAGTATTTGATGTCAGGGTTTTACCTTCCAGCTTTCTAATCGAGGTGATGATGATGCTGCACGATGATCATGGTGGCGGTGATGATGGTGGTGATGATGATGATGATGATGATGATGATAAACTTTATTTGACACAGAAATCTTTCAGTGATGACTGATTTTCAAAGATGAGGTGATGCTATGATGATGATAAAGATGATGATGATGATGATAGCGATAATGATCATGATAATACATGATGATGATACATGATGATGATAATGATGACGACGATGATGATGACGATGATGATGACAATGATGATGATGGCGATAATAATGATGATGATGATATAATGTTATGATGATGGTAGTGATGAATAATGATGCACCGAAAACAAAGGTTTATTTTGACTGTGTAATTTCTGAAATCAATCTAATTAGTCTATTCTGGTGAATATTTCATAATATTTCATAATATAGATAATTATAATAATAATAATAATAACATGATAATAATAATAATAATGAAAATAGGTGATGATGATGATGATGATGATGATAACCAAAACTAATGATAACAATAAAGTATAATGATGAAGATGAGGATAACGATCGCAAAAGAATGATACCTTCAACTTGCACCAACTATCTCTTTTCCAGATGTTTTGCAGTCAATCTACCCCTTCGAAGCCATTGGATGTTACTATTCATCCTTAACACGCCGATTACTGCCCAACATGCTGGAGCATGACTTTCGAAGCAGTATTGTATGGCATAATCATAGCACTGACTCTCTGTCTGCTGTAGTCTTTAGATGTGCCAAGCATGTGCAGGTCGACTTCAGCAGGTATGAAGACAATAGATTGAGTAGCAGGCGCAAAGCGACGAGAGATGAGCTAGGTGAAGTGAGAAGGGGGACAGAGGAAATTTCCCCTGCCCCTTTCCACGGGCTCCCAATCCCTATCCCTTTGCGCCTGTTTACGAGGCCATGATGACAACTAAGGTGACTGACAACTATTTAACAAAACGTAACTTAGAAAACTTTTTAACAAAGTTATGTTATATATAATTTAGCGCGGATTCCAAAGATGAAAAGAACAATGGGTGTTCGGAGCTCGTTTTGAAGATATTGAATATTTAATATTACAATATTGTCGAGTTTCAAAAGAAAAGTGGCGGAAACCAAGCTTCACACAAGAAATATAAAAAAAGATGGGATGTCCAGAGTTCAGTTTAATTCGAGATATTGAATTTTGAATAAAACCTTGACAAGATTCGCTCACAGAAAAAGGCATAACTCAAAAAATTAAAACAGCTACGAACAAAACTGTGTGTCAAGTTGGCATTGCATAGCAGTGTAGGATGTACTGTTTTGAATGACATGGCCAAGATGGAGCCATTAAATTTAGTCCCCAAAACTGTCCCACGATGCACTGCAATTCCAACTCGACCCAGTTTTTCCTCATTCACGGAATTGATGATGCTACTTAAAGAGTGAAAAAAATCATAAACATGGCCTCCCCTATATAAGTGCTCATCTAGATTACTTTGTATATAAATGGCACTCCTACCACCGAAGTTCATCCTTCCCCAAAGAAACTGCTCAATTTTATTTATTTTATTTTTATTTTTTGCTTTATGCTTTATGCTTTCGTTTTAGCTCTCAATACTTTGGATTAGAATATTGGGGCGAGTGCTGGACAGGCAACGTCTCGTTGAAGCTGCTTGAAAAATATCCCAGATCGGACCAGTGTTTTCGAACAAATGAGAATGTTACAATTGGAAAAGTATGGTCGATCTTTTTGTATAGATTCGCACCAGGTATGACAAAGTTAAAATTGTATGACAATGCAATGATCTAGTTTGTGTTCCGACTAAAAAATCGGTGAAGATTTTATTGGTGAGAGAATGATCCACCTAGTCGGAAGAGAAGAAGCATTTCACTACTATATTGAAATAGAATTGACAAAGCTGGTATGACCTTAGGACTATTTGTCACTTGGGTCGAGAGGTCTATCCTCGACCGAACAGCAGACGTTAGCTGACTTTGTTTTATTTGTATTGTCTCCCTTTTCTCCGCCTTTCTCCGGTTTTTCTCCCTCCACACAACTTAACCTGCTTAATTCAAAAGCTAGAGGCTCCATGTCATGGCAGACATGGCAGTTGGCATGTTCGTTGAATCTAGTTTACATCAGAAATAATATATTTCTCCAGGGGAAAAGTCTTTACACTTGTGATAATTGTCAGGGCTGCCATCAAATGATGGTGCCAGGCCTATATTGGAGCTGTGAGTTTGATCAGTATGACTTATATCAGCCCAGAAAGTGTCTCAGAGTTTAATAAAAATTTACACAACATTGATTGATGTTTTTGATGACATCTGTTTTTCTTTGATAGTCAATGGAAGCTGGTCATCGTGGGGATATTGGAACAACTGTTCTAAATCATGCAGAGGAACCAAACGACGCATGCGCAATTGTTCCAATCCACCGGCCCTATGGGGAGGCCAGTACTGCCATGGAAATGGTATATCTGAATTACCGTGTGGAGATATTCTATGTGATGGTAAGTGTCTTGAATGCTAAGACAAAAACTGAGGTTGTGCATAGCAACAAGAAGTAGGCTGCTCACTGTGCTTGGCTGCTGTTCTTTTTTCTTTTTTCTTTATAGAATTGCACTGCAGCTGGCGCACTTAGTTTCTAATGATATTACTTAAAATATCTGTTTCAAATCATTCTTACCTACTTTGTGGACACACGCTATCTGGGACCACTTTTACAAATTTCATCAATTATGACGTGAGGCTAAGGAAACTAGCCAACTTCAGGAAAGAGCAAAGCGAATCAGTAGCATGTTGACTTACAGCCGATCCCAATGTTTAATTCGTTTCCATGCATGGTTAATGATAAAATGGTTGATTAAATGGTTGTTAAAATGGTTGGTAAATAGTTGACGAAATGGTTAAAAAAAAGGTTTGATAAAATGGTTGAAAAAAATTGTTTTGATGAAATGGTTGATAAAATGGTTGATAAAATGGTTGATAAAATGGTTGATGACATCTAAGTTTTTTGTCAGATTATAATCAGATCTAGACTTTGCTGATTGCTCCTCTTGTTGTCTATAGTTCAGCTTACATTCAATTAATTTGCTTTTATTCTTTATCGTGATTGCGTAAATTAAAAAGGGGTCCCGATTAGCGTGTCCGCCGCATCCGGTTAACTCAGTGCAGTAGGTCGTGGTTCAAGCCTCGGCCGGACCAACTGAGATGAAGGTGCTGCATTTGTAATGACATCTGCAAATGGTTAGACCCCGTGGCTTGGATGACTACGTTAATGGCGGTCCCTTCCCTAATCAACTATAAAAGATATTAAAAGAGCACTACGAGTTTATCAGTTGAATTACGCTCAAGGTCATCCTCTATAAGCAACGTTGACTTATTTAATTAATTTGTATAGATAAAGCAAGCAAATGATTGGAATCACATTTCCAATTCCCACATGCTCTCTCCGTTACCTATCAAGTCAAAGTTGATTTATTTAATTCATTTGTGAAGATATAGCAAACAATTAATTGTGATCACGATTCTAATTCCTGCAGRCTCGCTTCGTTACCTATCAAGCAAGGTTGCTGGTCTTACATCCTCTGGAGTATTTGTCCTGTTGATTGCTGCAGTTTTCTTTTTATGGATTTTCAGACGACGACGACGAAAAAAATTGCAGTAAGTCTCGCATCTCAGTTAAAGTGCACCTAACGGGCCCCCGATACAAAACTTTCAGTATTGGTTCTACATAAAGTGAATAGTTGAATGGTGAAATTATATTTCTTCATTTGAATGTTGCGTCTTTAAGTTATGAAGGTTTATACTTCCATTACATTGCTGACTGTGACGTCACCCAGGCTTTTGAGTGTATTTGTTTTAATTTTTAATACTAAACACTAGATTGTACTAGCGGTTATGGAACATCAGATTTACAACTGATAAACATTGTGGAAACCTTGAGTATAATGATGATTCTTCTCAAAAACTGTTTGCGTGAACCAGTCAACATTTGTATATTTAATGAAGCCTGGGGTGACGTCACAGTCAGTAACATATTGGAAGTATGAACCTTCATAACTTAAAGACGCAACATTCAAATGAAGAAATATTTCACATTCAACTATTCACTTTATGTAGAATCAATACTGAAAATATTGTATCAGGGTTTAGGTGCACTTTAAAGATGGAAGGTTATCAACGATAATAAAAAGTACGACTGATTTTGCTTTTCTACCCTTTCCCCAGAATACCATAAAATACGTAAACATATCGACAGATCGAAGCACCTCGGTTTTAAAATTTTCCTTCCTCGTAAACGGCCCAAATGACCACGTTTTCATCGTTTCCGGCATTTCATCACTTTTTGCTTTTGCAAAGTTTTTCACCAAAGACAAGTATTGACTTTTTCTTTCATTTATTTAAAACTTAAAAATTTTTGCGATTCCTTTTCAAAAATAATTTACATAATTTTTCACTTGTCGACTATCTGACGCTGGTGCTTAAACTTTCTATAATCTATGCCTGTATATTCCTAATATCCTTTTTTTCTCCAAAGATCTCAGATGCATATCTCAGATCAATGGGAAATAAGTGCAGAGCAAATAGAGTTCCTGGAGCTCTTAGGCGAAGGAGAGTTCGGCAATGTATACAAAGGGGTACTGAGAAAAAAATCAAAGTCACCGATGAAAAGAAGAGGAAAGAGTATCATGCGACGAACATTACGAAAGAAAGTTAAAGATGAAGCTAAAGAAATAGTTGCAGTAAAATTATTGAGAGGTAAAATACTTCTCATCGGACACACGGTGCAAACTTTGCGTGCATGGTGGCCGTTTTGGTTGGATGTGACACGTATATAATTTTTTTCCTGCAAGAAATCTCCGAATAAGTGTTACCAACACATCGTGAAATTCATGGTTTTCCCCTATATGCAGAACTTCTTATACTGCCCTTGTTTTACCTAGACTRTGGTCCTGAAGAAATAAAAAAACACGCGGGGATTGGCAGAACACGAGAGAAGTGTTAGGAGAAGCACGACGCGTATGCAGAGTTCTCACTTCTCGAGTGTTCTGCCAATCCTCAAGTGAGTACGTTTTTCTTTTTCTTTTTTAAAATACAATCTGTTGTTTTGGATACGAATAACAAAATAAGAAGTGGACGCACCTGCTGTTTGCACGCGTAATATATCTTATATATCTTATATTATATTTAATATATCTTATTTCCGAAACAGAATCAGCCAATGAAGACCAGAGGAAAGAGTTTATGGCTGAGATTAAACTGATGAAAGAGATAGGATCTCATATCAACATCGTCAACATGATGGGGTGTCGTACGTTGATTGAGCCTTTGTATCTCGTGGTGGAACTGGTTCCTTATGGAGACCTGTTGAACTTTCTGAGGAAGCGACGACAGCAAGTAAGTAGTGGAGCAGATAGTATGCGCATGCGCATGGGCACTAGGAAAAAAGTTTGCGCATGCGTGCCTTTCAGCACGTTTTCCAATTTAGTGAGAAAATCTTCGAGTATACAAAAAATTCGCGAGTATACTTTTGTGAGACCAAGATACTGTATTAATAAATACAATATGAAAGAATTAGCCTAAGTTGCAACAACTGACTTCAAGTTTTGGCATTTTGTGAAGGCCATTTCTCAGAAATCTTTGAAGTCAAATTTACATAAAATTCATAAATTCATAAATTTATAAAGAAAAAATTCATAAACCCTAAATCATAGTTTTACATCAACATGAAGACTATTACGCTGATTTGCATACGTACTTGAAGCATGCGTAGACGCTTTTCACTCATTTCGTGCGTACATTAAAGTATATACACGGTTCGGTGCGTGCTTAGTTGGTTATTTGATCATGGTTTTCAACGAAGCAAAGCTTATTATTTAGTTCAATTTTCCGATTGACGTGCAAATTTAGATTCAAATTCTTCGCTTTCCAACCCTTAATCTTAGTTTTTTTCGGTTCAATCCCCTTCAAAATGTATTGAATTTATTCGTAAAGAAATGAATGCGCAATTATTATACAGTCTACCTGTCTTTCTTGGCTGCGCGCTTAGTGACTATCACTATCTTTCAACAATTCGTCAACTGAACATCTAGAAGTTTATCACCGCGCGCAGAACAATAAACCATTCTTTTAAAAAAGGTTTTATAATTTTCCTGCAGCTTTTGAGACTTTTAAAGGAAAACAGCAAGTCTTCGTACAGTACTTACTATGACAACGTACGAGACAGTAGCACGACCTTCAACTATGGAAGGATGATAGACGAATCTCCAGTGAGTAGCATTTTTCAAATATAGAACGATTTTCGTATTAGTGGGAAACGTAGTGTACTGACTTACGACACGTAAAGGTTGTAAAACATTTCTCCTTCAAAATTTAGAAAATGTATATTGCTGCAGTGCTTGAAGGGAATTAATTTCCAGCTGATCTAAGTAAAAATGTTAGGAAAATTTGCAAAACTGAGGTGCCACTTTATTTTTGTAAACAATGTAAAAACACGAGGTAACATTGAAATGGCTTCCCATATTTTCGCACAGTAATTCATTCCATTAGAATGTGTAGGTATACGGTTACGGTAAGACATCGTGTGGCTACAGCACCCGCATACGACAGTCGCCCTATAAATATAACAATAGTATACTCACACTAGTCAACTATTTAGCAATTAGTCCTCCATCCCGAATGGACTATGAGTCAATAGCCCATTTTACTATAACTTGGAAATTTCTCGCGAGCTCATTGGCTTAGAACCATTTTTGATTAGAGGCTAGACCTGCTTGTGCTTATGACATCTGTCACGCGCGCACTGAGCGAGCGGATTAAACGGCTTTTTCAAACTATTTACTTGTCTATTTGTTCATTTTTTTCGACTTTGTTGTGGTAAAAAACAAATCAAAGTCAGTTTTCTATGGATCTGTAACTGTAATCGAACATGAAATGACGTCAAAAATGATCCAAACTTTGCAGTGAAACCACAAGCGCAGCAAGACCCATAGAAAACTGACTTCGATTTGTTAATGAGGCCACTGACTTTTAGACCATGAGGGCGAGTTGACTAATTATTTTAGTCAAATTCAACTAGTCGGTCAAATATGTATGCAAAAAAGTTTTAAAATTAAAGTAAAGTAAATTATTGCATTATGTTCTTAGGCAAGAAGAAATCATCACAGGCAGGATTCAAGTTGTGTCATAGTCAGTTATCAACGAGGACGGGACGACGATGATGGCGAGCGCGTACAGATTAGAAGAGGTCGAGAAAATGCCTGTGAAGTTGACGATAATACTCTGACACCTAATGATTTGTTAGCGTTTGCATGGCAAATAGCACAGGGCATGGTGAGTATGAGTTTGGTTTGAGTTATGCAACAATCAAAAGGAACTTGCTGTAAAAACCAATAATAATATAAAGTTTCATAAAGCACCCACCAAGAGAGCATAAATACAGGTGCTGACACACGGTGCAACATTGCATGGCAACATTGCACGCAGCAGGACTGTTGCAGCGTGTCTACCTCAAACTTGTTGCACTCAACGTTGTATGCAACACATCTGAARTTGAATCGCACGCTACTCTTGCAACATTGCGCGCAACAAATTTCATCATGTGAACATGGCTGCAACACTACCTGCAACATTTTGAAAATTTCCAGCCAATCAGCTTGCACCAAATTTATAACTGCTGACCAAATATCTTAGTATAGCAGAGAGGGAAACTTCTTAATAACGCGCGCGCCTTGTAATTTCCCGGTTGGGCTATTTTTAGTAACCGGATGTAATTTCGCCTAACCCTACTCCCGTGCGTCATCAACATTTTTGAGAAACAGACCCTAAATTAATTGACTTCCAGGAATATCTATCAAGAAAGAAAATAGTTCATCGTGATTTAGCAGCAAGGAACGTTTTGGTTGGCGAGAAGAAAGTATTGAAGGTAGCAGATTTTGGCTTGTCTAGAAATATCTATGACGATGCGATATACTACTCCCAGAAACGACGAAAGCTACCAATCAAATGGATGTCTCCTGAGTCTCTGTATGATCAAGTGTTTACGCCAAGTAGTGATGTGTAAGTGCTTTATACAAAATACTGCATGACAATACTTTCCAGACACTTTCGTAATTCTGGAATTAATACGATTCCTTCAAGTTGTTTAAAATGTATTGCCTTTTTGGTGTTGGTTTCCTTGCACGAGCTGCAGGGCTTATTTGCCATTCCAAGGTTGGGGTCGTGTCGGGATTGCAGAGCATCGTGAGACTACTGTTTTTGGGACATATTACTGATTTCGTCCCCTAACATAGTCTAACAATCTTTTGCAATGACAATTCGACCTTGTTTTTTCCTGACTACACGACTGTAGCTTATTTAACAATTATTATTTTATGAGGATAGTACGTGCGCGCTGATTGGTCGAAAGCTGTGCTTTATTAGTGAACGGAGCAATTAGCGTGCGTGTACTATATATAAATGAATGTACTCTAATTATCTTCTATGTGTTTTTGATCTTCCTTTCAAGTCGTTTTATTTTGTTTTGTTTTTCCAGGTGGTCTTATGGTGTTGTACTTTGGGAGATTGCAACGTTAGGTAATTGTTCTTCCCTTCAGCAAATACTATTTGATGTCGTGTAAACTGAAAATCTATTGACACTATATTCCTGATGCCATAACAAAACTTGAATGTTCCCATGGCCACAATCATAGCGAAACGTAAAAGTTTAGCAACTCCTTAAAATTATTGCTTGTAGCACTGGATTCAAAACAAAACTACAAGTTCAAGGTCTCGATATTTCATGTATAAAAAGCTAAGCAGCAGCTTCTGCATGGTAGTACATAAAACGGTCTTTGAAAAATGCTAGCCTGCTGCGAGGGAGTCCCATTGCCTAGCCCTGTAGACCCCTTCCATGTGACCTCAAAGCAGAGCTTGATCTGGGGAACAAAAAAATTATAATTCCAATCTCCTGAGAATTGGAACCTATCGCTTTGTTCCCCAGATTGACCAGCATTCCAAAGTGCTGCAAGGAGTCTATAGATGTTTTGGGCTATCACGTGATGGCACCCATGACTGGTCTAATCTGATTTTACATAATAAATAATTCAGTTTCCCAGGGGAGATAAAGACTGTATTGTTGTGCCTCTTGTCATGGCTGCCATCACGTGATGGTGCTAAGCCTCTATTGTAACAGCGCGAAAGTGCAAAGCAAAAGAAATACAGTAATTAAACTAGCTTTCTTCATGCTTTTAACAGGAGGTTGTCCATATTCCACGATAAGCAATTACAAGATTCCTAAGATGCTGAAAAATGGATACAGAATGAGCAAGCCTGATTTCTGTCCAGATGAAATGTAAGGCGTGTTATTAATATCAGAGGGGGGATATCTCTTAGGGTTCCCTTGATACCTGCAATCCCTTTCCATTGGTGTTTTGTCTAATCTCATATTTTTGTCTACGTCGATCCCGGCCGCGCGTGCATGTGTTATTAACAAGAAATCGTTAAGATAATATGAGCAGTGTAAGTCAGAGATACAAAAAAGGTGCGAATAGACAAACATTCTGTCCTTTCGTATCGATAATCATCTTCAACTTGACCAATCATCAGTTTGCATAGTATTTTACACATTTATATTACAGGGCCCACTGTAATTGGCAAAAAGCTGCTGTGGTGTCCCTGCCCTCATGGGCCAAAAACTAATAAATAAAATAAAATAGAAGAGGAGAGGAGAGGAGAG